ATGCTTCTGCCACATAAATCACTTTCATCCAGGACTGTTACTCTAAGACTTTTTCAAATATAAACATTGGCTCTCATGTACATCTCTGAGCAAAGTATTTCAATCTAATGACCATATTAGAAATCCCTCAAAATTTGCTTTGCTAGCCTCCACAGTGGAACAGTTATTGTTTCTACTCTTCCAATATAGTAACTTTCTAAATTTTCCTAGAGACAGTTGAGATACAAAATTTTTCTGAAATGCAGAGCTTGGCTTTGTCTTCTCCAAAGGAGACAAAAACTATAAAAACTGACAAATGTGCCTCCATATACATCAGGAGAGGTTCTTTCTTTGGCTTTTTTTTTTTGTCATTTTCTTAAAGTGCAGGGCTAGTGAACAGCATGCAAATGAATAGACAAAAATTACACCAGGAAAAAGAAATCAACTGAAAACTGAAAATGCACATGCGAATTTCATAAAGCATGGACAGCACATTAATTCATTAAACAAACTGGAAAGCAGAGCAAAGACTACTATGTTAACTCAAAGATTCCAAAGAAAGATTAAGAAAATAGTTACCAGTTTACTCTTTTTCCATTGCATCTATCAGAATTAGAAATTTAGAAAAGATCAGCAAAGAGATTCCAGTGTTAATTACAAGACACTTACATTTGTAGTTACTTATTTTGGTAATGTAACCTCTAGTTATCTATTTTGGTACCCTTCTTTTGTTTCTACCCAGAAAAACTCTAAGTGCATCTCAAAACATCCCAACACTCCAAATGAACAGTTCACTATAGAAAGCCTTTTTGAAAAGATACTTCTATTTAACTTGGTACAGAGTCAAACCTGGTTTCTTTTGCTAGGTTCAGAAAGAGATGATAAAACACATTTCCTCTGTGTTTCTGTTCCTGAAGAGAAAGTTTGTTCTGTAAAAGTCTTACAAACTAATGTGACAAACTGTCACTTTTTTTCTGATCTGCTTCACTCATTTCTGTTACCACCTTCCTGGCCCCCAAGCAAGTTAGTGACACAATCATTGAAGAGGCCAGGCTGTGACAGCAGCTGGCATGTGGAAAATGAATGGAAAGAGGACTATGTAAGGTCTGGAAGCCTTGCTAAGATAAATTGGCCAAATACTTACCACTACTCCGTGTAAGTAAAGGTTCTACTTCTACTAAGTAAAGTAGAATCATAGAAACATAGCAGCATTTCAGTTGAAAATGACCTTTAAAATCATTAATCTAACACTACCAAGTCCACCAAGGCATAAAGTAAGCATGAAATACAACAAAATGTACAGTTTTGCAGCAGCATGGTTAGAGAAATGTTACCCTCTTGCTGTTCTACTACAATAAACATGGAAAATGGATATTCATGAAAGAAGCGCATAAAAAAAACGAAAAGCAGGAACTTCCTAAAACTCAGGTCGATCCAAATACCTACAAATCCAACATGCAGAGTTGTGTTTCACTGTTAGCATGATTTCTTTTAAAGCTATAATACTAAGGGACTGATGTTTCCACTACTATAAAGAAAAAAACCTTTAATATACGAGTAATAGATCATTGGAATGGACTGCACAGAGAGGCAGTGGAGGCCCCAACCCTGGAGTCATTCAAAGTCAGGCCTGATAAGGCCTTGGGAGACCTGGCCTAGGTAGAGATTTCCCTGCTTTTGTAGGGAAGTTGGACCAGATGGTCTCTAGAGGTCCCTTCCAGCCTAAACCATTCTATGATCCCATTATGAACATTTTGCTCCAAAAGACCAGTGCTGGGCAATTTTATGCTTAATCTTCACTAAAAAGACATTCTTTTGCAGTTCCAATTATATATTCCAGAAAAGGAAGTCCAATTCCACTGCACACATTAAATAATTTCATTTTGACCGTAACTTTATGAATTTCAGAAGTACTCTGCTTTTAGGGGAAAAACAAAAATCAAATCCATGCCCCCTCCCAGAGGAAAATGATAGAGTATGTCTTGACCAATAATGGAAATATATTGTGCTTTCAAGTAAAGAGTCTGGAAGTTGTGCATGACAAAGTTCCAAAATTCCCTGAAAACACATGTAAAGCATGATGAAGCATGCCACAATTCTCAGTCTGTTGGTCAAAAATTTACCTTTAGAAGACACGTGATACTGGAAAAGACAAGCACCGTGAAAGGAACAGCATGCCCTAATCAGGAAGATGATATACTCTTGAATTACTTAAAAAAAAAAAAAGCACATCAGTGCAGCTGAACATTTTAGAGGATGTTGTTCATCAGTGTCAGAAGACTGCTTCCTGACAAGCTTCTTCCTGTGAATGTTTGACCAGAGTGTGCAGCTCAAAGAAAAGGCCAGCTCTTACGGCACCTAAAGCTGAAGCTGTCTTCTCCAATACAAAGAAACAAATGGAAAAGTGCTAGGATTGCACTTACCTGCTCAACTTCTCCAAGAGTGACTGGCTGAGTCTGGTAACGAGCATTCATTCTCCTGTGCCTAATATCTCCTCGACTCCTTGTGGTGATGGCCCTGGATACTGGTTGAGACAGTTTGTTAAACAAAGCCATCTTTTCTGCCAAACTTAAGGTGGAAGAGTCTGGTTCCTCAGACTGATCTTGCCCCATCGCCTCTTTGGCTGCTCTTATTTCCTCTTTAGCTAAAATTTTTTGGTGTGCCGATGCCTGCAAGCTGAGGAGACAGAACTGGCAATGAGTTTTGAAGAAGCCTTTTAAAATCTCAACCAGATAGAAGCAGAACTGCAGGTGAAGCACAATAGCCAATGTAATAGAGCAGCCTGAGTGGTTATGCAGTGGTTCAACATTGGCATGATGAATTATAATTCAACATCTGAAGATTTAAAAAAAAGTTAAGTTTTCATTCACAAATTCATTTAATTAGGACACGATTTTTCAGAAGGGGAACTCAAGATCAAAGAGAGACTTTTCAGACCAATCTCTTTATACAGAATACAGAGTTATGGAGAGACATTTATATTATGGAGGCCTGCTGTAGAACAAACGTGTCCTACAGTACAATTTATGCAAAATTCAATTTTGTTAGAAATAATTTGTGAAGCATATATGATAAAAACATCTGAAAGACAGATTTTAAACTCCAAATCAGTGCTGATTTTATGTTAACATAAATTGTAATGCCTTTTATAATTTGAAGTGGAACAGAATTCAGACTATCTTTTGTTTTGAGTTACTTGAGGTAACTCAACAACAAAAAATAATTTTGAAATACACCCCATTAATTTTGAAGATTGTTTGACCAATGCTGAAGGCAGACGCATTCCTTCATAAAAGCTGTAACTGCATTTGTCTCTACAATAATATATTTTATTCACCTTCAGCTGCATTCATGGAATTTAGTAAGGGTTTTTTTTATGTGTGTGGTTTCGTTTTTTTTTTTTCCCTGCCGTGGTCTCTGCTAAAATTCACTCGTTCAGAACAGGTAACGGTATTCTGCAACTTTACCTATAGGTGGTGCAATTTCTTATTTTTCCTTTAATTTTGCAAGTTCAAAAAAAATATATGTAGAGACAGACAAAGAGGATTATGTACTGCTTGTGAAATCAAGCCCAGCTTTGGTATTTTCATCTGAAGATGACATTACTGTATAAAAAAAAGAGTACGAGAGCAAAGAGGGTTCTGCTAGTTTTGCTCACATGCAAATTCCTTCCTTTTATAAAGAAGAATCTGCTTCTAGAACAGGTTAAGTGTGGTTAGAAAGGTCCCGAAAACAAAAAAAAAGCTGCACTGTTTTATCATGCAAACATAAATGAAGTTGACAAATGTTTTAAATATTCTGGAAACAATTACTAACATGAGACATTGAAAAGGCATTCAAGACTTTAAAGATGCATCTGCTATTGAGGAATCTTGTGCTCCATGTAACATGCATGTTTATCCCCCCCAGTACCTGATAGGTTGTACAGTGCTCTTAACTACAGTGGGACTAGGTACTCTTGTCACTACTGTGTGGGTATTCACAGAACGTGAAGCAGGGGTAGATTCACTTTAAAGAATTGCCAAGGAAGGAAAATTCACAGGGAGAGAGAAGAAAAAAGCATTAAGAAAAGCAATACATTAAGTGTTAACTACAGAAAAGACCAAAACCAAAACAAAACAGAAAAAAAACAAAAACAAAAAACCACCAAACAAACAAACAAAAAAAAAACCAGCAATGATTATGGTTAACTGAGTTATCAGCTGCAACCTTTGCAAAATAACTTCAAATACTCTGAAAGAACTAAAAACTCAGAGGAGCAAACAACTTGTCTCTTAAGTTACTCATTACCCATAACATAAGCTGTCTTTTAGTAGATCACAAGGTGAACATCCATTAACCTTTGTTTAGTTTTTCCCCAAAACGACTTTCCTTTTTTCAGGAAAATTTCATGACGTATGACCAGAGTGAAAGAAATGCCTTTCCAAAAAGGACCTTTGGGATTTCAGAGCATAAAAGGTTTTTCCCCAATACAAATACATTCCATAGGAAATTGTACAGATATCCCTCAGCACGAAGTATCTTTTTCATTTGGTTACAGAGCAAGGCTATGATTAATCCCGTTTACCTAATCTATAGGTTCATAAGCATTCTACAAAATTACAGTTCATACAAGTTATGCTTTGCTAGTCCCTCTAATTCTAAAAAGGAATTTCAAGATAGTATCCCCTGTGGTTCCCAAGGAAGTGGGCTCTTAACAATAAATGTTTTCCTTGCTACAAAGCTGTAAACACCACATATACAGGGACCTTGTCCCAGATTTAAAAGCAGGAACCCAAGTTAGGGCCGAGGTATGTGGAAGACTTACGTAGCTGCAATGACCACCTCCTCGCTGGTGATGGGTTGTGTGTGCGACCTGTCCTGCAAACGCCGCAGCCTTCTCTCTACTGCTGAACTTCTGGTGGGTGGCTTGGGGATATTTTTCATTTCAAATGATTTTTCCATTTCCTAAGAGGGCATATGTCACAATGAAAACCACAGAAGAAAAGTTCTAAACCAGTACTTTCTTCTTAGCTTTCTTGCATGCAAAGGGGTAAACTTCCCAAATGCCCATCTCTCAATTAGAAGCAGGATGTAATTGCACAGTATGTGCCACAGAGTTAAAACTAACTACGCGTCTCTAAATGATGTTCTTAAAGAAGGCTCTACAGCAATAGGTATACTCTATAGGTAAGTGAGATGGAGTAAAAAAGTTATGTAGCTTGGACATTAACTCCATTACACTTCATTCTAATGCTCTTTGGGTTCTTCAGTATCTTGTACACAAAACATTTAACAGCCTTCTATAAGAAAAATGTAATACTTACTCTAAAAAGCAGCCTCTTTGCAGCTACACTTAGTTTGGCTCGGTCATCCAACTTTTCTTCATCTACATAAAGGGGAAAAAAAAAAAAGGATGCTGAGTGTAATGAATGAAGCTCATATTAAGTGAAAGGTGTTTTTTTGACTAAATGATTTCTGAACTCCACAAAAATTATGTTTTACCAAGACAAGAAACACCAACAGCAAATAAGGTGGATGTTACTCCCCTTTCACAAATGGCTTATCATGAACCAAATTGTGCAAACTTTACTTGCATTTACATGTATTGCACCAGAGGAAAATGCTTAACAGGATTTTTTGATCAAAAGACTTGTCTTCAGGACAGCTCATGTGCGTTCAAGTTATCCAGACAACCTTTTATGAATAATCAACATTAGTCTATGAGAACACATAGACTATGAAAATAACTAGACTGAAAGACTGTCTTAAGGGTCAACATTCATGCTGCTGTAAAGAACATATATTTCCTACTAGCTGACCATACAAGACTGTATATCCTGGAAGCTGGTAATTCTGAATACCACTTTGTGTCTCCAGTTTTCAGAGGCTCAACTGGTATCCTTAGGAGCTGAAATCAGCATCCTCCAGGTCCAAGAGCCAACATCTCAAATCTGCAAAGAGTATCAGCTTTCAAATAGCATAAGGCATTAAATCTAAATTTAGCTACTCATGAGATTACCTACTTAATTTGTGCCAGACTTGCCGAGAGTGACAAGAGGTAAAGAGAAGCAAGATGGCAACTTAATTATACAATTTAATAATGAGCAACTTGCAACTTCCTTAGCTAGAAAACACATCACCAATATCAGTTTCAGACAACAGTGAAGTTTTTTTTTAGTAATTAGTCCTAGACCACTAATTAAAAAGTATTGATGTGGTATTTTAAAATTTATTTTATTTATTTATTTTGTTTGTTTATTTTTTCCCCCTCCAACTAGCTTATTTATTGCCCAAGTCAGAAGAAAAAAACCCAAACAAATCTATGTTGAAAAGTGTCAGGCCATTCCCCCCTTCATATGAAGTTCAGTATCTGTAGACTGACTTTTGGACTTAAATTAATTCAAAATGAAGTCTGTGGTAGACATGGTGCAAGGAAAAGCAACACTTCAAACATATTATAGGTAATGATAGTTATCTTCAAGTGGATTTTGCTTGCATTATCAATAGTTTTTCAGTTAAAACACATTTGCTCCCATTTCTTCATCAGAAAATAGTAGAGTAACATACCTTCAGCAGTTGGTGTTTCTGCACTCAAGATGGACCTAGTGAAAAATTATCAAACAGAAACAAGTTAGTTGGAAACAAGACATCAAAAATTAAAACTCCATCTAAAGTGCAGGACCTCAAAAGTCTTAGGAGTGGGAAAACTACGTATTTTTCAAGTTTCAACAGTTTCCACTTTGACATCCTTTAATAAAGCAGAAAGGCAAGCAATGGCAGCCAAACTTAAATACAATAAAGGAAAATGACTTCCAGTTCACCTTGCAGAAGATAAGTCTAGGACTTGCTGCCAGCTCTTTTAACAAACTATGTAGCTTTGGTTGTTTGCAAAAAAAGGAAATTATAAAGCAGAGGAGATGGAAAGGAAGCTCTTTACACAAAGGCAAAAGCATTGATCATTAGAGAAAACCAGACAGCTGTAATACTTTATGATTCTCTGTTCACCATTTTACATGGGGGGTGATTTGCAACAAACTGGTTTTGTCGGCGGCGTTTTTTTTTATTTTGTAAGAAGATACAACAAATACTTGATTGTTTTTAAAGAGAAACAATAACCTTGTAAAATGTTTATGCTAATAAATTAACAAAGTCTCTTCATAAGCTTGTTCATGTCCACCTGCACCAAATGCTACAAACAGCTACACACGTGCCTACCTATCTGTCTCCTTCCGTTCTGCTGACGTTATAGGTTGAGTTTTAAATCTCTCAGAAGTCTTTCTGTTTTCACCAGGAGAGAAATAGCGCCTCGGCCTTCGTGGCCCTCTTTCACGGTCACCATTGGCAAACAAAGTGCTACCTGCTGTTGACATCTCAGACCAAGACTCGCTTTTAAACCACATGATAGAAAGTGCATAGAAAAGAAAACAGGAGAGAGAAGTAAAGCACAGATGTAAGCACCTCAACAATTCACTAGAGATCACTCTGCATGCTCCTCCAGTAACATGCGTGGACGTACACATTCCAGCTACCCCACATCACAACTTGCACTAGCAAGCAGAAGCACAAAAGCAGGACTCAAACCATCTCAGCCTCCAGTACACACTGGTGAAAGCTAAGCTGTGTGCTTTAAGTGCAGAACACAACTGCTGTTGAGTGTGTGTCATTTTTGCCAAGGACGTGCAAGCTTCACACAAAAATATGTCTGAAATGTCACCTACAGTTCTGTTTTCTTGTTGGCATTAGCAGTCTCCAGAAAGACATTACGGAGCTGGGCAACAGAGACTTTTGTGTCAACCATGCCAATCTCACCGTTTGGTGCATTTGCTTCCACGCTCTCCTTACTTTTAAAAGCTTCTAGCTTAGGAGCCACAGTATAGTCAGACATTGAGCGAGTCAGGACCTTATGCTTTGCTGTCGACACTTTCCAAACAGGAGCTTTTGCCTTGGCAGGCTGTGATACCGACCCACTCTGTATGTACATAACAGCTTCACTCCTTTCTATGTTCTCAGGGGTCTTAAACTGCTGCTCAGGAGTCTGCCTCTTATTGCATTCCAGCTCTCTCTGAACTTCTGAGTTAACTTTCAGCTTGCTTGTGAAAGAGGAATTCCCCACAGGGGTATCCAACTCTCCTCCTCCAAAGAGGCCTTCATGGTTCTTCCCTTGCTTGCGTATCTCAGATGGCAAAATTGGTCTCCTGCCTTTGGAAGCCTGCTCACCCTCCAAGGAAGCTTCTTCATCAGGCTTTGCTTCGCAGCCGAGCACCTCTTTCTTTTCACTCTCTGGTGCAGTAGCTGCTGACGATTTTGTTAAGAGGCCAATGCTGTCTGGTAGGAGGAGGCTGCCAACAGAGATGTTTGCTGGTTCTTGTGCTGCCATCAGCTGAGCTGTGTGAGCAATGCCAGCAGGCTGAATATAGCCATGTATTGGTTGGCGGACTGAACTGACAGGCTGATTTATAGCCCTATCAAAGGCAGACGTTTCTGTCTGAAGAGGCATAGAGTGGGCTGGCACGGGATGGGATTTTCTTTGAGACACTGTGTCTGTGACAAGTTCAGGGCTTCCACGAGCACTTTCCTCTTTCACCAGTTTCTCTCTAACTTTTACTCTTTAAGAAAGAAAAAGGATTAAAGCTGTGAACAGCAATACCCAGTCTGGGAAGGAACACAGAAACCTACTTTGGGTACTGACAGCAACATTATATTAAAATAAAAGGCAATCAACACATAAAAGAAAGCAATCTTATGATGCAACCCCTGCCTCCCCCTTGAATCTTAGCAATAGCATTGCTCAAAAACATTTGAGTGATTCATAGGCCCCCAAACATGCATGACTCCTTAGAAGGTAACTGAGCAAGCTCTGAAATGTACAGCATGTCCCATGAGGTTGCAATTGCATTTGTCAAACAGCACATACCCATAATCTCAAACAAACAAGATGATCAAAATTGCTGCCTATATTATCAAGGCGCTGGATTCAGCCTCAAATTGCAAGCTCCCATTTGCAATCAGATATGCAATCAGATTTTTGAAAATGTTGTTAATGGTTGGTCTTGATGAACCTAAAGGTCTTTTCCAACCAAAACGATTCTACGAGTCTATGTGTAAACACTGGGCAGCTTACATCACATCAAGATGCTGTTGCATTGGGGAAAGAGATGAAAAAACATGTTATCCTTACCTAGCCCTTCAGATATTTTGCCAAAGACTTTTTTACTTGTCTTGTATGATACGCAAAAGCACATCTAAAATGTAACATGTAGTGTAACCTGTTTCAGTAAGTGAGAAAAGATTTTGAAAGTGCAAGCCTTAAAGCCCAAAATGAACCTATGGCATGGCTGTTGCCCTTCATAGGGCTTGCATGGGAGAAAAGGATTTAATAAAACATCCCACGCAAAAGAGTCATTCTGTTTTAAAATGTTTCATTACATTCTAACATGCATAACTCACACGAATGTTCCCAACAGTTACCTTACTTCAGCGTATTTTCCAAAAACACCTCTAGACCTGTACAACATCCATGCAAAACAGTCATAGTCTACCTTCAGACACTTAATGCAAGTGCACTACCAGAAGGCAGGCACGTGCAGCCAGAGGCAGCTTTTGCTCTGTGGCTACAGCTGCAGGTAAGCTTTCCAGCACATTTACAGCCACGCCGAGCACCTGGACAGCTTACAGGGCAAGCATTTGTAAATATCTCATTCTGAACCCTGTGTATGCAAGCCCTGTACTTCCTCCTCTCCCATATGGGTATAAAAAATTATTTGCATTCTGAGAAGGGAGAGAAACTAAAATACAATACAAGACTAACTCTTTATTTCAAAGTAATGAATCCATTTCCAAGTATATGCAACTCCACACTTGCTACCAACAGACTTTTTGGAGTTTAAATTAGCTTTAAAAAGCAAGGTTTAGAAAAAAAGACAAAAGAGGGAATAATTGAAGATATCCAAAGGTACCTGTAACACCAGCCTTTCTAATATTTTGGTGCTTCTTATCCCTGAGGATTGGTGCACTTACCAGGGAATCTTCTTAAAGCTACTTAAGCACAGAGAGTGTGATCAGTCTGAAAAAGTGATTCTTTAAACTACACATATCAAGCATCCTCCAGAACATCCACACTGGTGTTAGTACTGGGTTATAAGAACTACTTTAATCAGGAACAGAAAAGAGTCTTCCTGCAATGCTTCTCATGGTGGGCTAATGTATGTGTTACCAATCTGGGAGAAAGCAGCTGCTGTAGCTCTGATCACTAACTTGCTTTAATTTTTTTTTTTTTTCCCCCCACCTCTCTTGTACCATCTCCTTGGAACTCATGGAGTTAACTGCAGGGAATGCTAAGACAGATTAGCGGGTGGTATAAAAATCTGCTGGTTTGCAGAGTACAAAGTGGCATAAAATAAGAAGTTATAAAAATTAGTGGAAGCCAGAATGACTGGAGCTGTGGAAGATGCTAGGGGCAATTGTACTTCATCAAAATACCAATTGATCCTAAGTTACAATAAAAGCAGATGCTTCAGAAAAGTTTCAACAGCTGTTTATCCACCACTTCCTAACTTGCTGCTGTTAAAGGGAAATTAAAGGCAAGTGTTAAATGAAGACAGAGTAAAGGGAAAGAAAGGGAAAGTTTGTAGTCTGATTGTTAGCCACACAGCTACATTTTATGATACCTGGAGGGCCAGCTGATAAGTGAAGTTGTGTCCCCTTCCGAATCTTTCTGAAGAAACCATTCAGGTTTTGCTTTCCCTGCACTACTACAGAAAACAGAACTTAAGGTAATTTTTGAGATCTCAACACATGCTCCCATTGTTTTTCCCAATCTTCCCTCCCCACAACTTTTTTTTTGTTTTCCAATTACTCAATTACAGAGGAGTTTGCATGAAAATAAAACCACATCACATTAATCAAATTGAAAAGTCATAAACTGTGAAACAAAGCATCATATTAATTCCACAAATATCTAAAAAGTGTTCTGAATGGTAAATATTCTGCAAAGGTAACTTTTCCAAGTGTACATTGTCTAGAATTTGAGAAATAAAAGCATCTCCAATCTTATTTTTGCAATTTGCCGTTGCAGGTCAGTTTGAAGGGCTTATGTAAGAACACCTGGAAAAGCTGCTAAAACCATTCTTATGAAGTAATAATATGAATTTAATGAAGTTAGAAATTCAGATGGCTATATTATACTTCCTAAGAAATTCTCCGGAGCACCTGGAACCCCTCTTTCCTCTTGTAGACCTCACAAAAGCGTCAGAAACGCAAACTTGGTTAAGTTCAAGTAACACTGGGTGACAGGGGAAAGGAGAAGCTTAAAAAAACAAAATAAACCCTGATTTGATCTTGCCTTGAGTTGATTCTGTTCCTGTTTGGGAGCTAAAAGCATAAAAAGTAAAAAGAGCAATGCAAACTTTTAAGACCTCTACAGGAAAGGGTGTTTTTTGCAGACTACCTACATACAGTTTCTCAAGTACTTTCCTCATGCCTACCTTCACTTACAGTCCCTCAGCAACAGTAGATCATATGAAAAACTTTAAACTTTGCAAGCACAGGCTCTCCAGCCACAATAATGTTTACAAACGTCTCAGTTTGTGATGGCTTTCCTTTACATATAGCTACGTCTGAAAGGAAGAACTCCTCTCATTGTAGTAGAGCCAATTAGGATGAGAATCCCAAATTAGCTCCAGGTCATCTACTTCAATTTTTCTTAGCTGGTCTTCTAATAAAAATAGTTGAAACAGGCCAAATCAATGACTGTTCTTAAGATAACAGTGCATTTACTGCAAATAAGTTTAAATTTGAGAACTCACCTACAGTTGCCATCTAATCCAAATAAAGCTTAGAACAAAGTCAAACACCAACTGTTAAAACACCTTTTATTTTTCCAAATGTTTCTGAATTCCTAAAGGAAGTGACCAAATAGTAGGTAAAAACCTTTCGAAGGAGCAGTCTCAGTAGCTGGAATTGCTTTGAAGCAAGCAGACTTCCTTCTCCTCTCTTAATGTGTACTTTGGCACATTTTTATAGTGGGCACAGCCCAAGCAGTAATTACTTGTACTTGATCATTCATCCTCTGAAGAAAGCAGTCAGAAGAATGAAAGCCATGTTTTGAGTGTAATCAGCCACTTCAGCAGCCAAATGCAGACAACGTCAAATGATACCTTCTCAGCTCTTTGTTGTCTCCTCAGTGATGGATAATAGGATTGATTATTAAGTCTTCTTAGGACTGAAGGCACAAAGCTTTCATATGTATTCCAAAGCAAGCTGCATTTATTTTCCAGTTTGAACTCAGCAAATTTAAATGTAACAAAAAACAATTTTGCAACCCTTATTTAAGAACTATATAAATGTATATACATATATGTTGCACTGACTTCAAAATAGAAATCTAGAAAGCTGGTATTAGCCCTTACTTTGTTTGTGCAACCGGCCTTACAGAAGATTACCAGAGTAACTTCAAACAGATTGCATGGAAATGGGCAATAACTTCTTTACCACTGAGAGACAGGGACAAGAGTTTCTGCAAGGCTCATCTTAAACCTCTGTATGTCACACCAGTGAGTATACACTGGTACTGGAAGTTCTCAGGGGTATTAAAACGAAGAACTGGCTCTTGGTAACTTGGGTTTTAAAATACCACCTATTGCCTACACATGTATCTAAACAAGAGACTAAATCCTATGTTTAAATCCTTGCTGCTATAAGATCTTGGTGGGTGCAGATGATTTCCTTCAAAAGTTAAGACAGACAGTAACAGTGGGAAACTTGGTTTATGCAAATACTAACCCCAAGGCTCATCCAGAAAGAATCTGAAATCAGTGATAATGCAGCCACCAATCTGCATTAAGTTATGACATTTTCACAGAATCGCAGAATAGTTTGGGTCAGAAGGGAACTTTAAAGGTGCCCTCATCCAACTCCCCTGCAGTGAGCAGGGGACTAGATCAGGTTGCTCAGAATTCTGTTCCATCTGACCTTGCACACTCTCTGGGCAACCTTGTGCCATGTTTCACCACCCTTGCTGTACAAAAATTTCTTCCTCATATCTAGTATAAACCTACCCTCTTTTACTTTAAAACCACTACCCCTTCTCCTATCATGACAGGCCCTGCTAAAAAGTCTGTCCTTGTTTTTTTCTGTAGGTCCCTTTTAAGTACCGAAAGGCCACAATAAGGTCTCCCTGGAGCCTTCTCTCCTCCAGGCTGAATAACCCCATCACTTTCAGCCTTTCTTCATAGGAGAGGTGTTCCAGCTCTCTGATAATTTTTGTGGCCCTGGTCTGGACCCACTCCAACACATTCATGTCTTTCCCCTGCTGGGGACCTCAGAGTTGGACACTACTCCAAGTGGGGTCTCACCGCAGTGGAGATGGAGAATCACATCCCTTGGCCTGCTGGCCATACTTTTGATGCAGCCCAGCATACGGTTGGCTTTCTGGTTTATGTCCAGCTTTTCATCCACCAGTTCTCTCAAGTCCTTCTCTGCAGGGCTGTTTCTCAATCCCTTCATCCCCCAACCTATATTGATACTGAGGATTGCCCCAGCCCAGGTGCAGGACATTTCACTTGGCCTTGTTGAATCTCATGAGCTTTACATGGGCCCACCTCTTGAGCTTGTCCAGCTACCTGTGGATGACATCCTTTCCTTCAGGTGCGTTAACTGCTCCACTCAGCTTCGTGTCATCTGCGAATTTGCTGAGGGTGCACTTGATCCCACTGTCTCGATCGATGAAGATACTAAACAGCATTGGTCCCAGTATGGACCCCTGAAGGACACAACCTGTCACTGATCTCCATTTGGAGATCAAGCCATTGACCACTACTCTCTGGATGCCACCATCCAATCAGCACCTTATCCACTGTTTAGTCCCCCCATCAAATCTGCATCTCTCCAATTCAGAGAGAAAGATGGTGTTGGGGAATGACTCAATGGCTTTACACAAGTCCAGATAAACAACATCCACAGATTTTCCCTTGTCCACTGATACAGTCACACCATCACAGAAGGTCATTAAGTTGGTCAGACAGGACTTGCCCTTGCTGAAGCCATGCTGGCAGTCTTGTATCACCTCCCTGTCCTCCATGTGCCTTTGTATAGCTTCTAGGAGGATCTGTTCCATGATCTTCCCAGGCACAGAGGTGAGGCTGACAGGTCTGTAGTACCTGCAGTACTCCTTTCTACCCTTTTTAAAAACAGGTCCAATGTTTCCTTTTTTCCCCAATCACCAGGTACGTACTTCACCTGACTGTCAGGACTTTTCAAATATGATGGAGTGCCTTGGGAATTACATCAGTCAGTTTCCTCAGGACTCTGGGATGCATCTCACCAGGTTCCATAGACTTATGCATGTTCAGGTTCCTCAGGTAGTCACAAACTAGACCTTCTCTTACAGTGGGAGGGGCTTTGCCCTCCCAGTCCCCATCCTGCAGTCCATCCACGTGGGAGGTGTAGGAAGAGAAGCTGCTAGTGAAGACTGAGGTAAAAAAGTTGTTGAGTACTTCATCCTTCACCTTGTCTGCTGTTGTCAGCTTGCCAGTCTCTCTCATCAGGGGGTTATGCTTTCTTTAGCTTCCCTTTTCTGGATGACATACACTTAAGAAGCCCTTCTTACTATTCCTTGCATCCCTTGCCAAGTTCAGCTCCAGCTGTGCATTGGCTTTCCTGACCCTACCTACACAACCAGGCAGTGTCCTTATACTCTTCCTGTCCCTGCTTCCACCTCAGGAAGCTCCATCTTGCCCTTTAGTTTGACCAGCAGGTCTCGACTCAGCCATGCTGGTCTCCTGCTTTCCTTTCTTGATTTCTTACACCTGGGGATTGAGAGCTCTTTGTACTCTATGGAGAGGATCCCTGAAGATCTGCCAGCTCTATTCATGCTGCTTTTGCCCCACCCTCATATGTTAGTATGGCACTACTGCAGAGCAGTGAAGCAAAAATGGCCATACCAAAAATGGGATGGATTTCAAAATCTGGAACCATCCTAACATCAGAATTCACCTGAAAATGGATCTTACCATTTCATTAGCTGGAAATGGAGAACAACTAAGTCTCCAAAAACTCCAAAGATGACCTTGCAGAAGGGGCCTGTCCCCAGTGCTTGCCAAACACAGCTGATCCCTTAGTATTTTACACAGCATCAGAACTCTTAGGGACATAATACATTTAACAAATGAAAAAGTATGCCCCCATTAAAAGCAATGTTTCCTTAATTATTTCTCTTCTGCCCAACTTTCGTAGCACCTTTTATTACTAAAAAAAATGGTCATGCCAGAAGTGGCAGCTTTAAAAAGGAACAGCTGGAATTTGTGAGTGATTTGCCAATGCCTTCAGCCTGAACTTGTAACTGGTTTAGAGAGCTGCCTTAGAAAACCCACACTTGTTAGCTAAAAATGAAAAAGCTTTACAAGGAGATCCGATTTCTCCACATTAAGGGCTAATCTGTGAATGAGCAGACTCAGGAGTCTCTATCGGCAGCATGCTGTTTCTCCAGGGCAACTGCCATCCCACCAACACTGTGCGCAGCACAGCTGCTCCTGAGGTGGAAGAGAACAACCCGGAAGGTATTTCACTGTTCAGTGTTTCATTGGTTCCCCCTCACAGAAACAGGGACTAGGACTGCTTTATGAGAGCACAGAAAATAACACCCCTTCTTACACTGCAGGAGACACATTCTTGGCTGTGAGGTTTGATGGGCTATTCTCTTTGCTTTCATAAGGCTGAAAACTTTGTTTCCTTTGTTTTATGAAGGAAAGGAGGGGACGGACTGCCAAAGGTCTATTGCTCTAGTATGCCATCCTATCAGGAAGGAGTCAACACCCAGTCAACTCCTTGTACTCAAACTCCTTGTTTCAGTACAACTCTGGTCTCAGTTGTATGGATGACCTTGCAACAACTATTTTCTGTACTGCACTAGCAGAATTGGAAGTTTAAAACAAACTAAATAAGACGGCACTTCCTAAGTATGTTGACTCCCTTTCTCTCTGATGGTTTTCTTGAAATGAAAATATTCCTTTTAAATTTTGGCTTAATTGAGAGAGTCTAGTGATAGCTCATAGAGCCACATGGCCATGCAAAAGAAGGTGAGCAGGATTAAGTCACATGAATAATGAAAAGCTATGAAAAAACATTAAGACCCTGCTACTGGTGCATTCTGTGCAATAAAGGAAAACAAAAAGGGAAGGCTAAGTACATCTGAGCAGTTTACAGGCACTGTAAATAGATGACTTAATCAATCCACCAGCTGCTTAACCTTTGACACGCAAGATTGCTTCCGCACTCAAACTTTAAGGTACACTTATGTGAGTTAATCAGAAAGGCCACAACAAGTAAGAATCAAGTTTTGTGATTTTGACGGGAAAGAAAGTCAATCAGTCAAGGTAGCTTGTTTCTGAGCCTACTGAAAAAAAGTGCTGGAAAGTATAAATGGTTCAGTTTATTCCAGTTCATTTCAGGTTTTTAAAAACAATCATCACTGCTCAGCATGATGCAGATTGTGTTCATAATTAAGTTCACATTGCAGTTTACATAACTTTGAGCTGCTATATTTTAAAGTTTTCACAGGTATTATTTTCCATCTACCCACCTACCTAGAAATGAAAAAATCACAGTTAAGAGGAAAAACATACTTAAAAAAATTCTTAGTCACGCATTGGTTTTTTTCACCGTAACACTTTGACAGTCTGGTTTTGCACTACTATGTGAAACAACAATGTGAAATCAGTGAAAACTATTATTTTTCTTCTGAAAGACTCTGGTTACCCTGTTACTGGAGTAAATTTGTTGAAGCTGAAGTAATTCTGCATACCATGAGGGAGGGTACATCTTCCCAAATTCAGCATGGAATTTTAACTCTCCCCTCTGGCCCTTCACACACATACCTTGATATTATCTGAAAGATTAACTATCGTAGTTCAAAAGGGTTTTTACACTTTCACAGCAGGAAAACAAATCAACTCCTATTTCAACTGATCCGAGATACTTTTCAGCTTTTAACTCTGATAATTGTGTTATTTTGGCAGAAGCTGTCATGAATCTGTTCAAATCTCCACTGTGAAACAACTTGTCTTTACTTGGAACCTGCCATCTAAACAATTACAGGATACAGACGAAAAAAGTTAAAGGTTTGCTCTAATAGGTTAGAGGAAGAGAAAATAAAAAAACAGGTTTAGAACCATAACTGTTTTAATTTCTAGTTTTTGTAAATAGCTTAAATATCAGTTATTTCACCCCCCCCCGTAAAGGGACTAATTTTAAGCATAAATTCTCTATAGATACATATCTCTAGAGTGAAACCAAGGACACATCTAATCATAGAAATAGATACCCACTTCCTTCTATCAGAAAGACACTATGATTCAATAAACCAAACCAATCCAGCCTAAGACATCCAAAGCCACCAATACTGTAGATATTGCTGCAGATGGTGATTAAGAGAAAGGAATATACTGTATAAACAAACAAATAAAAATCATGCTTACCTTTGTCTGATGTTACTGTGCACGGGCTGGTCATTCTGCAAATGGATTGGTGAGGCTGCCCGCTTCGGTGAAGAGAGAGACTCTCTGGGGGTGTGCTTTGGTGATACTGGCACTTCGTTACAGGAGGAAAATTCTCGTTCAGAAATTGAAAGAGAGACAGAACTATCCAAGGTTGCTGAGGGGTCAGAAGCCTGTCTAATGGCACTGTCATCATCTGCTTTTCTAATACTCTTTCCGTTTGAGAGGTCTTCTGTATCTGGAACATCATCTTTTTCATGGCTGAAATACTCTTTGGATTCAGAGATCACACTCTTTGACTCCTTTGTCTCAGTCCTGGACAAATACAGGGAGCCACAGTCCTTGTTTTCATCATCTTGCCTTTCACTTTTCACTCCCTTTCTTTCCACGCTCTCGGGATCTTTCCTTGCCCGTGTATATCTGGATGAGTAGTCAGAATCCAAATCAGAACCCAGAGATAATCCGTATTTTTCTGCCAGCTGGCGCCGCCTCTCTGCCTTGTACCTAGCTATTCTTTCTGCTTTTGACTCTAGTTCCTGGACATCCATGTTTCCTGTGCTATACAAGGGCTCTGTGTTACCTCCTGTGATTTCTGCTCTGTATCTGGATGATCTGGGTTGTTTTTCTACAGAAGAATCTGAAGTTTCCTCCTCTTCATGTGATCTTCCTGTCAAAAGTACAACACATGTAAGCAAAGTCCATCCCAAAACTCGGAGTACCCTACCCACCATTCACACTGAGTGAACTAAAAGCTTTCCATTTTCTTTCACTTCAAAGCTTACTAGCAACTACACAACCACATGACATTTTTGCACTTATGTCTCCAAAAGCACATACAAAAGATTAAGAAAATAGTACTGCAATTCTCTGAGAGTGTCATATCAAAATATTGTTATTTTAAAACAACATATGCAAACAACCTTTTTCAAATAAGACAACTGGACAAGTTGTCCAAGACATGTCGACAAGTTAAAAAAAAAAACCCTGACCACAGCTCTTCTATAAAATTCCTCTCTATTTACCACAGAAATGACAGGGTAGTAAACATGAAATAATTCAGCAACACAAGACTGGCCATTAGATACTACTTACCTAAGTGAGGACTGTAGGGATCCGTTGCACGCATATATCTTGGTGTATCTTCCTCTAGTAAACGGTGGGTGACTGATCCTGGGCAGTTTTGTAGAAGCATAGGTTGAGTATCATTTTCAATTCCCTCTAAGCGTCTAGCTATTCTCTCCTTCCTGAAAAAGATGTGAAAAGCATGACATCTGGCATCTTCGAAAACTTGAGGGGAGAGCTTCTAAGAGGAGGTAACAAAACAAACTGTGTGTTTTGTTTTACAGGCCAAAGGCTTTTTTCTTTTTACCTTTTCATTTCCAAAAAATCTTGGTTGTTTGGTTCAAACAGTTTTCTTAACTCTGAAACTGAGACAACAAAAGATTATACAGTTTATAAGCTACTAAGTTTCAGAAACTCACAGAAACTTGCTAAAATGCTTTAGAATAAGAAGGAACAGTCAAAATTAAGAGGTTTGAAATAGCTTTTGTCAAGGAACAAGTACTGTCCTCTTGTTTTCCTAGTTTATTAAGTTTATGTTGTCCAAAGTGCATTACGCACCTAAGTGCAAATGCCAAGGAGCCCTCCCTTCCAGGTACTTTCAGGCTAACCTAGAATCTGTTGTGGCATCCTGGCAGTTTTCAAGATGTAGTATAAACTGGGCAACATGTATTTTCATAACTTGAGGTAAAGCTTACATGCTGTAGTAACCTGTTTCAAAAACCAGGTAGTATGGAATTACAGTTTGCCCTGTCTACACAAAGGTTGGAAACTGACTATGTTTGAGGAGAAACAGTTTTGCCTATTCCTTACATTCCTCCACTCCTTTATATTGAGCAAATCCCAAGAATCCTAGTAACTTATGACTGGAATGAAAATTAACGTGTACCCTCATGATATTCCTGCATGATTAATCATTTTCTACTTTGCTAATTTTCCCTTGTAGTTCTAATTGGATATACTTTTCTTCTCTCCCCCTAAACCCTTTGGTGGTGTTTGTTATGTGCTGGTAAACAGCTGTCACAGTCCACAGAATAGTAGTGAACCGGCAGGAGGCATGACAGAATGACAGATGAAGTAATCCCTATATATATACACACATGTGTAGTTATCAGTGATGCTTGCAAGCCACACTGGAGCAGGGAGTGGTACATAAACAAGTGTTGTGTGACTTCCTACCACCAGGAAGAGAAACCATCCCAGCTGCCAAAGGATGTAGTGAACTGGCATGGGGGTGTGTGTGCCTGACAGCCCCCTGACCCCCCTTCCCACATCACTGCCTTGACATGGATGTGGCGCTAGAAGCTGTGCGCACCCATTCTAATGCAACGCACCGCTGGGGTTCTGCTCCTGTTGACCCAGGGATCAAAAGCTAAAGCAAGCTAAAAATCTACAGCCTTCTAAATCAGCCCTAGGTTGCCATCAGAAACACCCAATGCATCAGAAGTTTTTAGCAGACACGATTCCACACCAGTGTGGAAGTAAATTTATCAGCTTTTTTCCCTACCAGACTTAGATACTTAGCTCTAGATAACGAAGAGATAAACATTATTGAAACACCACCCTTTTAAAGGTCAGATGAACCTTCTCTCCATTTCCTCTACCACAAGAACTTAGATGCATAGCTATCTCAGGGATTCAACTTAGCCAACACATATCCAGGATGTTTGTTGTAGTCAATGCCAATGCTCATGCCTCATAGATACTGATAGATACTACTGACAATGGCTCTGGTATCAATCGTACATGCTTAAAAATCACTAGGACTCCAGGCAAAATGTCTTGGACCAGCAAGAATGAATGTATTCTGATCATGACTACTCAGAGAAGCAAAAGAATGAGGTGTGAATATAGCATCTGAGGCTACAGATGAGTGCCTATTAAGAATGTGCAATTAACAGGACAAAGAAATGAACTGGGCGACTCTCCAAAACAACCCCTTTAGTCTACATTTTTACAGAAAGTAGTCTCAAGCTATCTGCATCAATTTCTCAAACCAGTTTAGCTCAGATTGTGATGATTCCATGGGAAAAAAACCAAACCAAAACCAAGCAGATATCCGATGCAGACAGCAGTGCAAAGTAGCCAAGTATGTAGCCACTTAACAGTGCTAACCCAAGAGATACCTCTTCTGTGCCTAGTTTCAGCGTCTGCAGCAAAGCAGGTCGAAGCCTACACTGTTGACCAGGTTGACAGTGCTAGATGGCCACCGAGAGTCAGCAAGCTCCAGGCTCGGACCTCTGGAGAGGAATGTGAACTGGAGCTGGGCAATGCAAAATCTGCATCCTGAACCAACACCAAGGCAAAGATGAGCATTCTCTCAATACATAAGCAGGCCCTGCTGCTGCTCTGCCTTCTCAAGCTGTGCTGTCAGTGGAACGGTATTAAACAGTCTATGCACATGAAACCACCCTTTGTCTCACATTCACGCCAAAGGAAATGATTTCTCAAATACTTTGCTCCCACCTTTGCTTGGGGTTCTGCTCCTCTGGCTATTAAGAGTTTTTCTGTTCCATTTGTTTACTACACACACATAAAATAATCAAAACAAAACCCATAACTGTTCTGTCACTTCAGACAGGTCAAAGGCCTCCACAGCTCACAGTTAATAAAACCACATTCCATCCCAATCTCATTTTAATTCCCTAGTCACCAATATATACAGTCCGTAAAACCATCATCAGAGAAAAAGACTTTTACACAGCTTTAGTAAAGCTCTAAAGCATAGCTTCATATACTAAAGTATTCTTGGTTTCCCCCCCCCCAAAGGCAACTTGACCAAGAAATGCAGAACATGCAAAGAACTCCCAGCAGCATTAGCTCAACACCCTCTTGCTATGTGTTAGCTGAAGTTCCAGAGATTCTACTACTGCTTTGCAGTCCTAAAAAGAGCACTGGCCTCATGAAGCATCTCTCCAACACCTTCCCAAACAAGATGGGACAGAAATAGCATGGGACTACTCTGTGCTGTCTTACACTTTTTCCACACTTGAGATTCCAGACAGTCATTTCAGCTAAGTTAGCCAACATTTGCAGAGTTTTTTTTGTGAAAGTAGTTTCAGCACTATTCTTCTCCTGGGGAGGTGGGAAAAAAGCACAAAAAGCAAGGCGGGGGGGAGAGGGAGGGGCGGAAGGGGAAATGCAGAAAGTGTTCTACTCTAGTGATTTCTTTTGCTGAAAAAAAAAAATTTACTTCAAAACATGAAAGAAAATTGGAGAAATTTTACTCTAAAGGACACTGGTTGGCCCTTGCAAGCTTAGGGGATTGAGTTTGTCTTCTTTAGCTCACAATTTGAATATGTTGGTGCTAATTTCCCATCTGTTCATGGGATGTTTTTCCACATGAGTGTCAGAAACTACACCATATCAAAGAGACTCATGACAGCGTTAAAGAATAACTAACATTTGTACCTAAAAGGTAGCACAAAGATCTGATTCACCACACAAGAAAAGACTAAGAAGCTTAAAATAATTAATTTCACAGTAAAAGCTCCTTATCTTCATGGCAACACACTTTGTAAGCAATATTGGTCCATATAGTTAAAGTCAATAGGAAGAACAGTCACAGTTGAGGAATATCCCTGAACTTCAGGCTTTTACTATGTTGAGCAGGATGCTATGGTAGAATACCCTCTAAGGTAGACTGTCAAGAGGCATTTTACTTTTGGTAACTGTGGACTTTCTGAGCAGAGTTTACCTTACAGTAACAGAATTTAGCAAAAGCAGTATTGTTCCATGTCTCATCCCAGAATAAAAAAACTAAAATGTGCCTTTGGAGTGCACCTTATAAAAATATTTTTTTTTTAAATTCCTTACATTAAGGTTGAAGATTTACAGAATTCAGAAATCTTTCAGAAACATTTATTAGAGAATAAATGAAAGCTCTTTGATAACAGCAGAGGGGACACATGTGGATAAAGTTGCAGGCATGTGACAGCAGTTTTATTTTGAAAATACAGAAGCTGTAAAACCTAAATCAAGCCTTCCAAAATTCCCTAGCAGAGTGAGCACATACATTTGTGAAGCCTGAATAGGCATGGATCAAAAGTTTACCTTTCAAAGGCTTAATTTCTCAGAGATGTCAAATAATCATTGGAATGCAGGTGTATACATTTTCATTTTGAGGCAGATGTAACACAGCCTCATTCCTATCTCCTTTCTCTCCTACCAACTAGGCTGGAGAAGTTTTTATCTTCTGTTTAAGCTACCAGAGTCACACTAACATTCAATCCTTAACTGCAAGCAGCAACATGTGAGACTTCAGCTAGACTCTTTGAACCTCAGTTCAGTCAGTTGTCAGCTGAAAATTAAATGTATTCTTCCAATTTCCAAACATGTGCAAATCTGACTAAATTTGGGCCCTGGATGGCAAAAAAAGCCTGGATTTTCAAAAAGTGTTTGGCCTCAAGTATTTTCCTCAGAGTGTAACCATCAGCTCCCACTGCTAACTTTTCCTTAAGTCTGGTGCACACCAAATCTGATGCCTTTATTATGAGAATAATTTTTTAGAAAATAGAGACATCTTAGAATAGAATTTAGTTCAGTGAGAAGCAACTTGCAGGGGTGGTTTCCCAAGTGAAGGCTCTCATAATTAACATGCTGGCCAGCACGGCTGTAAGGTTAAGTATATGAAATGAGGGACCTATGCATTGTTACTGACTAGTGCTCTCAGCAAGTATGTACCATATAAATGCATACCACTCTTCCATCATTGCGTCAATAAAGTCTCTTTCTCAACGTCTAAAGTGACTATATTATAAAGGCAAGCCCATCACTTAAATATCACTTCAATGTTATGCTGGAAGATGGGTTCCTTTCTCTCCAACAAATAAAGAACTCTCCAGCAAATGACATTAAAACAGAAAGCCAGTTCCTTTACATTGGGATGAGTGCATCTCGCCTTGTAGTTTGTCTGAAAAGGGTGAATACCATCAAAACGCCCACACAACTTTTATCGAACTTCTGAGATCCACAACATCCCTGAGTAAAGGCAACATTTTACTGTCATTTACATGTAGTTCTTCAGTCAAATGTCACCCTTTATTGGTCAAGAACTATTTTCAAGTATATTGTGGTTTCCTCTAAATAATTCAAGGTAATTGATTCTCGCCTCTTCTTCAACTGTGTCAAAAGATAAAAGATGTAACGGCTGTTTTCTTCATAAGTTATTCAAAGATAGAACTTTAAAAAAAAAAAAAAAAAAAAAAAATCTCCAAACCTGGATGTAGTGCAGGTCCTTTAGCATGCAAGAATAAAAGCCAGCATGTAGTCAGCGGGTCATGCAAGCACTGTGATGCTACCAACCATCGAAGGGACTGGAAAGAGCTATGACTACAAGTCAAGTTAATACTTGTGCATTCAGTATTAATCTAACAGTACAAAGAAACCTCTCTGAAGTTTTGAATTTCAGCTACTTCTTAACCTATTGAAAACTAGGTAAACAAAGCTGAACTTGATGGAGTGGGGATGTAACAAGAGCCTGTAAAAGAGCATTGCTGCTCGTCCCTTGTCCCATCCCCTATGCATACTTCACAGGGAAAAGAAAACTTGTTCAAATAAACATCTGTGCCCAAGTGATTTTCACTGTGCCTTGCACTTGCATAGACTAAAACTGGGCTGTTAAATTACCACGTGTTCATAACGTGTCTCCCTTACGTACCTTTTGGAAGTACCGCTAAGAGATTAGCATCGATATCCTTTGTGCTGTTTGCAAGCTCTTCTTTATCCTCAAATGAGAACTCCTTCTGAAAACTGAAAGCAACATCTGGTTTACAGAACTGTGGATGTTTCTGCTACAAATCAAATAAAGCCAAGATGTAACCAATTTACTGCAAGATAGTCTAACAGAGATACCAAAGAAAATATTTTCCATAAGAACAAAGTAAAAAAATCCAAGAAACTCACAAAGCCAAACCTAACATAATTTGAAACTAGTTTGGACCCGACTGTGACACATTTTTGCATTCAGTTACTGACGGAAAATTGCCTTCAAAATGCTCTACTAGCAATTACATTTGAAATACATATATATCAAATGATCTTCATAAATATTAAAACATTTCATCAAATGCAGTACTGTATGCACACTACACTACACCTAGAAGCCTCTTCCATGACTGCCCTACTGCTGTTGCTGCACTGATCTCTGTATCTTACATGGCTTATAACAAACCAGGATGAGCAGCAGATCACTTAGTTTTATACCTTGTCTTTTCAAAATGGCAAAAACACCCATTTATCTGAAACTAAGTATTAAAATATGTTAATTAAACACACACATTTTAACCGTAAAATGTAGGTGTCACCATGGTTAAAGTAGACACTGTCTACAGGCTTTTTTTTGAGAAAGTGTACCTTTTTCATGGTAAACAATGTGAGACTTTCCTTTCCAGTTACTAAAAATAGAGAACTGATGTATTCTGCCATTGCAACTTCTAAACTACCCCAGTCAGGCATAAAAAAACTTCTACTAGTCTGAAAACCTTTAGTAAACTGTGTAGACAGGTGTAACAGATACGAATCCCCACAGCGATCCTAGGCTCTTCATTTTGCCATGGTAGTGATGTGCCATACTGTCATTCTGGTAAGACAAACTGCACAGCCTTAGTGTTGGA